TTATTATATATATTTATATGTATATGTATGCATGTATATAATAAAAAATATTTATTTATTATAATAAGCTCGCGAGCCTCACGAGTCGAGCTTCACTGGACTCAGCTTGGCTCAATTAGCAAATGAGCCTATATATTAGGCTCAAGCTTAGCTCGAAGCTCAGTTTAAATCGAGCTGAGCCAAGCCAAGCTTTTCATGAGCCAAGCTTGAATAGCTCGTGAGAAACTCGGCTTCTGGCCACCCCTAGACATGGGCAGCAAAGACCAACTAAGTTAGATGAAGAAGAACTGATTGAGCTTCTAATTTGACCTCAGGGCAAAATTGATATTTCAACCCTTCGGTCAATATTTTAACGATAATAGTAATTTTCTGAAACAGTAAAAGTAGCATTAAACAATAGTACTCAAACAGTAGGAATATACAAGTCAATTAACTAAACGATAAAGATAATTTAAGAAATTTACCCTAATCTAAATCACCCAAGCTTTTAACTTTATTATCCTCACCCTCTCCATTATAATACGAATCCCATCATGAGAGAGAGATCAGGCCAATTGTATTTGGGAGTCTTATTGACCAAAGATCACGCATCAAAATATTTTTGTTTTCAATTAACTTTACACTTGTGGCCTTTGTGCCTTGTTTCCATCACCCAAGTGTATAATAATTTTAAATACTGTTACATTTTAAAATCACTAGTAAATCCCACAGGAAGCATTAAGCCTTGTACTAAATCAAATGGTTGAGGCGAAATAAGTTCCTATGCGTGCATTTCTCTGATCCATCTTGAGCTGATGAATAACGAATGGATGAGCTCCCGACTGGAGAAGCTAAAAGCATCTATTCTGCTAGACACGTCCGACGGCTTGTATTGAGCCTTATCTTGTATAAACTTTATCTAAGTGTAGCCTTATCCTGTATGTACTTTAGTTGTTTTTGGGTTTGGTTTCCATCTTCATTTAGGAGTTAACTCTAACTCTGTATATATATCTTGTAATCGTTTGCTAAAAGAGATACAGAAGAAAGTCTTTCTCCTTCGACCTGAAGTTTCTCATGGTATCAGAGCTAGTCTTTCATTTGACGCTGCTGTCGTGTAATCAGCACAATTATCAGACGGAAGCGGGTTCCGCAACCCCCACTTTCGACGGCAATCGAGCCTTGGGTTGGTCTAGGTTTCGTCATTGCCGTATACTCTCACGACCAAACGATTTATCCAAGTCATCAACGACCCACGTTTTGGATCTCCGACCCAACGCAAACCTCTTCAACCCTGCCAGTCCCGGAGGTGGTGGCTCTGTCACTGACGTTGTTGCACCCGCCGGAGTCTTAAACAGGATCGACGAGACACTCTCTTGAGCCGGTGAGAATATTGGTTGCTCGTCGATTTTAACGGCTTATTGTACTTTACAACCCAACCGGAATATCATCTTCAAGCTTTGGTTGATCGATAATGGTAGATGGAAGAGAGAAGAAGAATGAAGGTGAGGGCGGAAACAGAAAGGTAGTCTCACCGTACTACCTGACTGCCAACGACAACCCGGGTAATATAATTACCCAAGTTCAATTGAAAGGAGATAATTATGAAGAATGGGCTCGAGCAATGCGGATGGCACTCCGAGCCAAGAAGAAGATTGGATTTCTCGAAGGGACTATATCTCAGCCCGCAGATGATTCTCCAGAATTGGAAGACTGGTGGACTGTAAACTCGATGCTGGTTTCATGGATCCTCAACACGATAGAACCGAGCCTGCGTTCTACAATCACATATATGGAGGCTGTGAAGGACTTGTGGGATGACATCAAAGAACGGTTTTCAGTAGGCAATGGGCCAAGAATTCAGCAACTCAAGGCAGATCTCGCGAACAACAAACAGGCCGGTCTCCCAATCGTGACATATTATGGCAAACTGAAACAAATATGGGAAGAGCTTTCTAATTACTAACAAATTTCGACATGCGTCTGTGCAGGTTGCAACTGCAACATCGCTGCGAAGCTGAAGAAGAGACGAGAAGAAGAAAGAGTCCATCAGTTTCTGATGGGCTTGGACGACRCAGTATATGGAACAATGCATTCCAATATTCTGGGCACCGATCCGCTGCTAAACTTGAACAAAGCCTATGCCATGGTGATACAAGAGGAGCACCTGAGAACCATGACACGTGGAAAAGAAGAAAAAAGGGAGGCAATGAGCTTTGCTGCGCAGGCACAAGGTGGAACAAAAAGAATGGGACACGACACAAAAGAAAAATCTGGAGTGTGCACGAACTGCGGACGAATAGGGCATGAGGCTGAGAGTTGCTTTCAACTCATCGGCTACCCAGACTGGTGGAGAGACCGGCCGAGATCTACTGAAAGTGGGAAAGCACGAGGCTGAGGAACACAAGGCAAAACTGGTCGTGGACGTGGAGGCGTACAGAGAGCAAATGCTGCACAAGCGGTAGGGCAAACCTTTGAACCAATCCACGCGACAGAGGGAGATCGCACAACATTCGATGGATTGACTAATGAATAGTGGTCCACTTTTCTTAATCTCTTGAATTCTTGCAAACCCAATACAAATGAGAAGTTGATAGGTACGAATTGGATAATTGATACAGAAGCATCACACCATATGACCGGGAACCTGAACCACTTGCATGATCTCGAGATCGTGACTGGTTGTCAGGTTGGATTGCCCGATGGAAAGCGTGTCATGGCAATAAAGAAAGGGACAATCATTTTAAACAAACACATGAAGCTTACTAATGTACTTTATGTTCCTCATTTGAATTGTAACCTGATATTTGTGTCGCAATTATTAGAGGAGTCAAATTGTAATATCCAATTCACTAATAAGTTTTGTGTTGTACAGGACCACACTTCGAAGATGATGATTGGTGTGGGTGAACTACGCGAAGGGCTATACTACTTCAAAGGTGCGTGCTCAAGCAAGGTTCACAAGGCAAAGGTTGAAGCTTCATACGAGTTATGGCACAAGAGAATGGGTCATCCCTCCGAGAAAGTAATTAAATTTCTTCCTGATTTGAACATTAGATATGGTAGTGGAAACATGATTTGTGGTGTTTGTTCAAAAGCCAAACAGACAAGAGGTACATTCGATTCTAGTGAAAATAATGCTAAAGGAACTTTTGATTTGATTCATTGTGATTTATGGGGTCCGTACTCTGTACGTGCGTCTTGTGGTGCCACGTATTTTTTGACTATTGTTGATGACTTCTCAAGAGCTGTTTGGATTTCCTTAATGACAAAAGTGAAGTGGGCAAAACGTTGCGAAACTTCTTCACTATGGTTAAACGCCAATATGATRAATTGGTAAAGATAGTTAGAAGTGACAATGGTACTGAATTTACTTGCTTGAAGGAATATTTTTCTGAGCAAGGTATAATACATTAGACCTCATGTTTTGAAACACCGCAATAGAATGGATGTGTTGAAAGAAAGCATAGACA